CCTGTCAACTTCGAGTAGTGCCTAAAGATTACTTGGTGCAGCTATAAATGACTGTTAAATGAAATGATGAATTTTTTAAGGATTTGGAAAACGTAAAAAATGATAGTCATGCCGGCCCAGCATCATCAACATTGAAAAATGCCCCGGCATGAAGTGGTTAATACCAGAGCAGGTCACATATTTAGAACCCTCAAAACTAGATTGGTCACGTGAAATGTCTTTTTGATGGTCTCGATTACACTAACGGTGTAATTTCCACACCATCCGCCTTGATGTGCTGAACTGATGTACCATATTGTTAGGTTCCCTTCTAGAATACTAGTTTAATTTGCATGCCATCTGGCTTGAAATGCTTAGCACATCTGCTGTCATGGTCTAGACTACAGTACTGCTGGTGGAAATTTGTCAGGACTTTTCCTTATTTCAGGATTTTTTCATCAGGATTTTCCAGATTTTAGGATTTTTTTCAACGAACTCTTTCAAAGTCTGGAAAATGCTGGTTTACCGTCACAGTGTTTTTACGTAAAGCAATTGACGTGGAGAACCCAAACAGTGGGAATTTCAAGGGGTGCACTTGGGCAAGCATCGCACTAGGGCAAGCACTGCACTTGGGCAAGCATCGCACTTGGGCAAGCATCCTACACCACTCTAAAACCTTCAACACCTCTAGTGATTATTTTGTGGATTTTTTTGTTTTCCTCCATTCTCACCCCTGACTCTTAAAATTCTGGACTTCCTCTCGTTTGTAGCCTAAGTGCTCCCTGCACGTGACCCAGAGGGTCAGCCAGCTCTACCCCGGCACCCGCTTCAACCCCATCCTCTCCAAGCAGTCGGCGCCCGGCATGATCATAGCCATGGGCAAGTTGGGCAGCAGCCTGGGTGCCGACGCCGACTTCAACGTGTACCGGTCGGGGTCCGCTGGGGCGACGTGGTACGAGGTACGTGCAGGCCTGCTGGGGCAGAGACCAATCTGTTTTGAGGTGACGCTAACCAGGGAAATGCACTTGGCACCGAAGCAGAGCACTAGTCCAAAATGGCACATAATCCATCAACATTAATAGTTGTTATCATAAACCCTAACCTCTAGCCGTGTTATTGAGTAACCTTTGTGAATCTGCCAAAATTCAGCACTGTGTAGTGAGCCGATGGTGTACTCTTTTGTACTTCTGGCAGGGTACCAGGTCCCACATCAAGCAAAGGTGCCAAGACTTTAACCCCAACTCCTGATGAGGCCCTTTTTGCTAGGGACCCTCCTCCATCCTTCAGAATCCTCCAAAATTTCTAGAAAATGTTACTTGGAGGTGTGGCTATTGCCCCAATCCTTCAAAATCCTCCAGCAATTCCTGTCATTATGTTGAGGCAGTGCGAATGGCATTCTTGAGCAGTACTGTAGGTTCAAAAGAAATATCGGGCTGAATTTGTGTACGAATGAGCAAGAACAACACAAGGTCTAACCCACGGCCTTCACTGATTGCATCCTTCGCAATCAGCCAAGCACTTTTGCCATTCACCCGCATTCCTCCAAAACTGCCCGAAGGATTTTGGAGGATTGAGGAGAGTTAGGGTTAAAGCTGTCAGTCAAAATACAACTGAACGTGATGTTTGATTTTGGCCAATGGACCTTCCCATAAAAATATGCGGATTAGGCAGGGGCGTGCGCTAACATCACTAGTTAGCGTGCACGGCCGCCAACACTGTCAGCAGTGTTGGAGAGCAGCTGTAACCATAACCTGGCGCGTTGAAGGTCAATCAAAACCACAACTGCCTTTGTCCGATACTTCAGCACTCTTTTCTCGAAACAAAGTGAAGTCTTCAGTGTCCTGAGGCTGGACAGTAACAGTTCCTTGTCTTTATATTTGGCACTCATGTCAAACCACATTGGCATAGAAACGGCGCGTATGGGCTGAGAGTTTTGCATGCATGGAGATTTGAGATTTGCTACCTCATAGATTGCCAGCCAGTGGTAGTAATGCGGATGCACCTGCCCTCCTGGCATATTTCATGGAAAGGGTCCAGTCGGGGTTAAGGGGTAACTCTAAAAGAGCCGGGTTATTTTGGTCCATGTCAGGGTCGGTGGGGGGGGGGGGAATTCTGTCCCCCCCAAGAACTTGGCTGTGCCACGCCCAATTTTTCGGAAATTTAATATGCATGTAGAGACACTCCGCATAATTACAAATGTGAAGTTTGAACTCAATCAGACGTATGGTGGTGGTGTTACGGTCATTCGAAGTTCATGGCTACATGCATGCCAGTAGGTGTGCATTGAGCACCGCATTGGAAAATTTTGGATTTTCATCTGACCCATGTTGGGAAAATGCGCGAGAACAGTGTGTTTGATTTTTTCAAAAATGGTGTTAAAGTGACTGCAAAGAATTACTGTAAAAAATCCTAAAGGCTCAACTCCTGGGAAAAAAACATGTACTGTGGTGATAGCGGAAGAAATGTTGAGGGGGTGCCCCCCAGCTCGTTTATGGTTGAGCCTTTCAAGTGCCCGGGCACCGTAGTCAGTCACCTCATGTTTTACATTGTTTCAATGCCGAGAACGTCGGGAATCCGCCGTCCAACTCTGCTCCGATATTGTTGTAGCACATTTCTTCCCCTTGCCGAGTCTTCAGGTGTCTGTCAAGGAATGACTGAAATCATTTTGACGGCAGTTCCATGAAATGTTGACAAACTGTCCACGTTTGAGATGCAATTCACCGATGAAGGTTATTTTGTTCCTTTCACAAGCTCCGTGAATGCTGCCACCAAATGAATGGCCACCCAAAAATGACCATAATGCTTGGGACGGTTAAGATTTTAGGGAGGGTTGGAATGATGGTTTGTATAAGTGGCACTCGTAGCAGGGTGAAGTAAGCTGCATTTTCTGTAATTGATTCCAGATGTTGAGCGGGCCGTTCTTTTATGCCTTCGGGGATCATGGAGGCGTGGTCATGGCAATTACGCAGTACGGATCCACCAATGCAGTCAAGTAAGGGCCTAAGTCTCTTATTAAAGCCACCATTTGCTTGTCACCACCTTTTTGAGGTCAACGACTCCAGACGTATGTGGCCCTTCAAATTAAATAAGTCAGACCTCTGCAGGGCCTAGCCAGATTAAGCCTCCCCCCTAATCACTAAATTTCAGACCTCTGCACAACCTGGCTAGGTTAAGTCCTGCCCTAATCACTAAGAACAGAACAAAGGCCCGTAACAAAACAGTGGACCAGGACAGAGCAATGGCTTGTAGTGGAGAGCCTGTTTTTTTTAATCAAGTAATGGATTCAAATATCCAGACGCCCCTGCATGGCCCAAAATTAGCCTAGAATCTGTCTGAAATCAGTTTACTGGATAACTATTCCTGTCAGGATGAAGTTTTGTGGTAGCAACTAGTGTTCCCTCTGTGTACCTTTGAATGGTGAAAATTACGAGGCTGCAGTTTGAAAGATTGTGCAAATGTTGCTGAAAAGGCTCTCCTGAATCAATGTGTCTAATGTTTGCTCGTGTATCAAAAGTTGCCCGTGATGCATATTTCCCGTGGCGACAGTCAGAATTTTCGGCTAACATTTATACCGTCGACGAGTGTTTCAAAATGATTTGTTTGCGGTTGAATTTGTTAGGTATTCCGTGTCGGAGGGCGAATCGTGGACAACGGAATCCACCGAAGACGACAACACCAAAATTGTGGTGTACGGCATGATGACGGAGCCCGGGGAAAAGACCACCACCTTCACCATTTTTGGGTCGCTCACCCAGAGGCATAGCTGGCTGATCGTCCAGGTGGACTTGAGGAAGGCGCTAGGTAAAAAAAAAATCTGATTCTATGAGGGGCTTAATGAAATCAGTGCCTGGTTGTCTAACTCAGACTGGCCAGCCGAGCCCGGTAAGCTTGGTGGTCGAGCGGTTAAGACATCCACACTAGTAAACAGGAGGTCATGGGTTCTAGTCCCTATCGAAGATCTTGGACAAGTGCCGAGTATTTACAGCATTTCCAAATACTCCTGTGGCGTGAGGGCAAAACCTGTAATCAAACTGCCTGGTTATTTTCTTAGCTTCCACTGTAGTCCCACGTGACCAGGCGACAGCAGTGTTGAGGATAGGAAAAGAAAAAGGGACCAAAGGGTCACAATGTCTTAATTTTGTTTGTGCGGTTTCCAGGCGCCGACTGCACGGACAGTGACTATAAGCAGTGGTCTCCCGGCGACGAGTATCCCGACTCTCACTGTCTGCTGGGGCGGAAGATGATCTTCGAGCGGCGCATCGCCCACGCGGTGTGCTACAACGGGCGGGACTACGACCGGCCCATCTCCGTCCAGAATTGCACGTGCGACAGAGAGGACTTTGAGTGGTGAGTAGCCAGACCGTCAGTCCCTTTGCATTGATTTTTAGGTTATTGAAAAATGAGTTTTCTTCAACAGGCGATTAACTTCTGAGAAAACCTGATTTATTTGTTCACTATTATGCTGGGGAAAATAAATGCACTGCTTGGCTTGTAACAAATCAGTACAGGGCAATTGATATCAAAATCACTGGCCTCTGCCTGTCAGTTCAGTGACTGTTTCGGATCCACTATTTAGGGTTGATGTGAACTGTTTTCCAGTTTCTAAAGTCCTCTCTCTGAGAAAGGCCTGTGTACGTCGCATGCAAGTATTGATATGGTGGCATTTATTTTGGGTGTTGGTGATCCCTCATGTTTTGATGCCTCCGCAGTGACTTTGGCTACATCGAGAGCCACGACTGGGAGAACAATTGTATCCGGGATCCCGAGGACCCTAACGATCCCCACCAGATTCCCAAGCCGTGCCCGGAGGGGACTTTCTACCGCCGCACGAAGGGGTACGAAAACCAGCTTTCATACTACTTTTTTTTAGAGATCAAGATACTTTCACAATATTAAAGATCCTGTTTGTTTTAGAGACTCGGATTAGAGATACCTGTAGACGGACAACAGGTTTAACCTCTTCGTGCCGGGCGTCGTCTAAACAGAGGGATTCCCCTTGTCAAAATGCTGATGGCGTTTAAATAGGTCGGGCAAATTCTGTACGTAGGTTGTGTGATGTTCACTAAATGTCACAATGCACAACGCACAGAATTGTCCACACGTTCGAGTGATTCTCACTGGTATTGTGCACACACAGATGCTCGAAATAGTCCACAGAGGCTGAGCACGTTTGCAGTATAAGAACTTGACATTACATAATTATTACCTGCTACTTTGGTTGGAGTGTTCTGCCATTTTCCAGTGCCTAAACATTGCCTTGCAGATGTTTGAAATCAAGTTGGAATCTTTTTGTACCTTTTGAACTGCAGTTACCGCAAGGTGGAAGGCGACACGTGCCACGGCGGAGACGAGTACAGATATGAGGCAGATCAGGTCTCCTGTCCGGTCAAAGGTCAGCTTCAGATTCAAAAGTGGGGGAAAAAAGTTTAAAAAATCAGATCTGTAGACGAACAATTTAAAATGTAGAAAAGAAAGAAATTCTCCACTGCCCTACTGACGCCAAAGTCCCCAATTTCAATCGTGATAACTTTGGTAATAATATTATTATTGGCCCTTACCGGCCAGCACTAATGGTAGGGGATACATGTACTTCTGTTTTTCTTTTCATTTTTGGGGGGAAAATGTTTTTTTAAATTTTCTCTGACTTGAAGACCCTTATTTGGTTTTCTTGAGACCACAGAAAATACTTCTGTCGTCGTTTTTTTTCCTGGTTCCTCTCAAATTTGTCTTTAAAAAAATCTGAGCACCAAATTAGAAAAATATGTTCACCCAACTCTGGAGGCCAGTTTGTTTCACACGGAGCTTGGTTTTGATCCGTTAGGCCGGTTCCGGTGTTGGCAAACCCACGCGATCTGGATCCGTGTGAAACAAACAGCTCCACGGCGTGTAGCTTGCCGCATGCACCGTTGAGCTTACTCTTGGAGGAATACTGGGCATATTTGTCTGTCGAAATACTGGATGGTCCCCCGGGGACCAAATCGTGGTGTGTCTGGATTGCATGGCTGTGGCCAGCGGTAACATGCATGTGTACTGGGGCTGGATTGTGTCAGTGTCTGCCTTGAGCAGAAGCATCCCCTCATTGGTTGAAGAGAGCCATGCTGGCGGGGAGTGTTCATTTTACTGGAAGCGATGTGACTGCAGCGTGCGCATTTTATAGCCTAGTGCGCAGTGCGCCTAATGGATAATCCAGCCCCATGCTTTCAACCTGTGTCCCCCCGTCTCGCCCTGCAGAGATGCCCGAATTCATTCTCTACGCCCGCCGGACGGAGATCCACCGCTACCTCCTCAACTCTGGCCGGGACGAGCGGCTGAACCTGGACGTGTCGCTGCAGGCCGCCATCGCCCTGGACTTTGACTGGCATAACAACGTGCTGTACTGGGCCGACATTGTGGAGGATACTATCCATGTAAGTGAATGTATGAAACCCAGTCACCAGTTCGGAGCCACTGCCGTTGTGACACTGGGCTCCCATGCAGATTTTAAGCGTGCCTAAGGTGGGCGGGGGAATAACCTGTTTATTTGTGACCTGTCAACACAAAATGAGCTGAAAGTCGAAATTTTCAAAACCTCAGATATTGGTGTCGTTGAATTCAGCCTAAAGAGAGCTTTCCAATGGTTTGTACAGAACACTTAGGGTACTAAAGGTGTAAGTTAACAATGTGGCATTATTCTGGCAGCTTTGCGTCTTTGTGTCCAACATTGTTTCAACATTTCTGACCAGGCACGAACAATGCTTTTGTCAAAATTGCCGAGAAAATGACATGTTGAAATATGTGATTCTACAAATATTTGGAATTCAATAGGAGACGGGTTACTCTTTCCAAATATTGCAAACCCCCCAAATCGACCTCTGCTTCAATATAACTTTGAACCCTCAAAATAAGGAAGAGTGGAATGCAACTTTACTCTCATTTTGTCGTGACAGGTCACATTTTATACCCAGTGGGTATCTCCCAAGCACATGGCTGTGTCCGGGTTTTGGTTTGGACCGAGGCTTGATGTTACGCACAAGTCAGTGGTGGTAACTGCTGGCACTTTCCACAGTCATGTCATATCAAGCCTCAGGCTACTGGTTTAGACACAACTGAAATCTTTCTTCTTCGAAGGGTGTCTTTGTATTATTAAAATCAAAGGGGAAACCACCTCGTGTAAAAATGGAGTAGTATTTTTCTCAGATGTACATTGATATCGTTACGGTGTACAGAGATACAGCCTGGAGGATGGCAACTACACCTTGATCGCTGACAAGGGACTCCAGACGGTGGAGGGCCTGGCTTTTGACTGGATCGCCCGGAACATCTACTGGGTGGACTCGGGCAACAGGAAGATCGAGGTGGCTCGGCAGGACGGACGCTTCCGCCGGATGCTGGTCAACGAGACCAAGAACCTGGACAAGCCCCGCGCCATCGCACTGGATCCCAAGAAAGGGTGCGTGTCGATCCCAGCCCGACTGAATGGGCGTGTGGCCCGTTGGGTAGGGTTTGTGACCCCTGATTTTAGGGTCAAGGGCTCGAGTCCTGGAGTCCGTTATGTGTTGTGTCTGAGTGGTTAGGGTTCGAATCCAGCAGTCTCGCATGTTGTGACCAAGATTCTGTTTGTGACTTCTGTGAGACCATCAGGCATCTGCTGCTTGGCTGATCCATTGAACCTTACTCCATTACAGGAACTGGGTCATTCTATAAATTTGGGGTCCAATGTCTTTCCCCATCCCTGTGACATCTAGCATGTGGTTTCTAATGTTCAGAAATCATTGTTTAATTTCCAAAACTGAATAAGTACTGCAGATTCCCTGCCAAACAAATAACAATAGCTTGCAGTCAATTTCAGTGACACATCCCTTGTCAAACATATCAAATGGTAATATACATGTCAGAGGTAATACGGACGGAAAAAATGTTGCCCTGTGGACCCCAAATTTATAGAACGACCCAACTGCAAAAAATGGGGGAGGGTCCCGGCCCCCCAGCTTCCGCCACCAGTGATTTGCCTTTAGGAGCTGGTCACGCGCGGCCATGCGGTTTGAGTTTGTGATTTTGGGATCAATTGATGTTTGAATCCAGCCAGTGGTTTCATGTTGTTACCTGGACTGAGTCACTTGCATACCTTGGCTTGCCTCTCGTTCCATCCAGGAGTAGAAATATGTGGTGTCAGAAACGGGATCTTTTATTGCATGTCTGCGAAAATGAACAAGGAAAGTAAAATATGAAAGCTGCGTAAAACTGCTTCTCGACTAAGTGACGTGGCATTTGTATGCTTTGGAACACAAATACTTCATTTCTAAAACCCAGTCAGTAATTTCAATGTAGTTGTTTGCACACCCAACCCTGACCAGCGCGTGTCGTTAGCCTTCTAGGTGTTTGTATGTTCTGGCAGAGAAACAGTGTAGATTTCTAAACCTTGTCAGGAAGTTACGGTTGCTGCAAACCCCACCCTGAGTATGATGCATCGGCAGCCTTCCAAGGGTTTGCATGTTTTTTAAGAAGACAGACAGAAACAGAGAAATGTGGGTAATCTTAGAAGTCAGAGGGCTTGATGTTTCCATCCTGACAGAATCCCTCCCAAAGACAAAGAAGGCGATGAAAATGAACGAGCCAGAAAAAGATTTATAATGGTAGATTTGGTTTGGATTTGGCCCTCAGGAAGATGTACTGGACCGACTGGGGGGAGCATCCCTACATCATGCGGGCCGACATGGACGGCTTAAACGCCCAGGCAATCATCAACACCAACGTCCACTGGCCCAACGGCATCACCATCGACGACCAGCTCCAGAAGATCTACTGGACGGACGCCTACCTGGACCGCATCGAGACGGCCAACATGGATGGCACATACCGCCGGGTGCTGCTGAGCGAGGGGGTGCCACACCCGTACGCCATCGGGGTCTACAAGGTACACTAGGAAGAAGGCACTAGTTGCTGTCGAAATGGCAGGCGTCACACATGTACATGCGCTTGTACATGGTGCCTTGTGGGGTACCGGAACAATGGAAGGTACCCCACAAGGCCAGTTTGGATCCTTGTGGGATACTAAAGTGGTACCCCACACGAATTTCACGAAATAGATATTTCAGATTTACTCAAAAAGGAGAAATGTTCAAGTGCCATTCCTCTGTCGCAAATTGAAGTGTTTTATATAAGGAAAATACGGTCGAAATTTCAACCCAGGAAACTGAATTTGGTTGAAATGGCAGTGATTTGAAATTTTTTCCGTGTCGTTTGGGAGTTTTGTACACGAGAACAAAGGAAATACCCCACAAGTATACGTATGTAAGGGTGCGTGCGTGTACATGTGCATGTAACTAGCCGTTTCTATATGGCTGCTTGCTTTGCTGTCGGGCTCATAAAAGGTGGTGTTCTGATCTCTGGTTTTTCAATGATGGCTGGCAGTGTTGTAGTGGAGTCCATCACAAGTCCCTGTGAGTCTGTCACGAGTCTGTTACACGTCATTCAGTCTTAATCTAATTCATTAGCTATTCAACTGAGCGGTGACAGAAGCATTCCTTTGTCATTGTTCACCCTGTTTATGACTAGCCTCGTGAAAGGACTTGTGACTGGACTTGTGAAAGGACTCGAATACAATTCTGGGTGCTGGTATCCTGTCCGGAACAAAAGAGGGCGTGTGTTTTTGATACTCACCACATAGGCATGCCATGAGGCGCACAAGTACCGGCGCGTTTGACGTGGAGCACGCTGGGTACGCATAACTAATTTATTGCGTCATGTATGGTCTTTGCGTACACGCAGAACTTGTGCAAGAACCTGCTTGTAACCACTTGTCTTTCTTTTGCCGAGTGGGGGTGCACTTCAGCTCAGGCGGATAGCCTTTTAGATATTGAAATGGTGACGATAGTTGTGCCTCTATGGGTGTTACTGTAACTGGGTATAAGTGCTGGTCTTTTATAGGGTTTACTGCAGGTCTACGACAAAGTGTGTCGGTGTTTTCAATGTTTTCACAAAACCAGACACAAAACCATTCATAAGGCAAGACACAAGATCAGACACAAAACCATTCACAAGACGAGACGCAACACCATTCACCAGACCAGACACACAACCATTCACAAGACCAGGCACAAGACCAGACACAAAACCATTCACAAGACCATTCACAAGACCAGGCACAAGACCAGACGCAAAACCATTCACAAGACCAGGCACAAGACCAGGCACAAGTAACAGGGTTAACATTGACAAAGGAAAGACTTTGTTGCCGTTCATTTGAATAGCTTGTGACTTTCATTCAGCCAGGAGGTCATGTGTTGGTCGTGTGGTAGCCCCGTGGGGTCTTGCGAGGGTTTTAAAAAGGTCTCCAAGACAACACAAGAACGTGTCCGCGGTTAATTGAGTTTTTTTAATTTCTTTCTTTTAGGATGACATATACTGGGATGACTGGCAGTTGGAGTCCATTTTGAAGGCCGACAAGTATGTTGGAGGGAGCCGAACGACCGTTCTGGGTAACCTCACTGGTGTGATGGACCTGAAGATCTTCCAGAATGCCTCTCAACAAGGTATATTCTTGGTATCCTCACTGGCATAATGGATCTTAGGTCTTGCCGAATGCTTCCCAACAAGGTGCCTCACTGGGATTTTGGATCTTAGCATCTTCCCAAATGCTCCACAGCGTACTTGCTAGGTAACCTTTTGGAAAAAGTGGGATGTTGAAAGAATGTTACATTCAACGCACACGCCTCATCACGCAGATTTTGGGGAAACAGAATTGCCCAGCAAGTTGGTCCTAATTCGCCGAACCAAAGAAACTGACCCCTTAACGCGGTGCAGGACTGTCCAACTGCAGTGTGACAAACTCCAAGTGGGTGGGTGGGACTTCATCTGGCAAGGCCATTACCGGCCAAAGGGATCAAGCACAGCCTGGGGTTTCAGCACTGGAGCCACACCCCCAGGTCCTGTTTGCTCCCCTAAAGCATTCCCTCTTCCCCTGGCATGCTCCCGACCCCTACAGGTGAGAACCCCTGTAAAGTAAACAACGGTGGCTGCAGCCACCTGTGCATCGCCGTGGCCAGCTCCACGGGGGAACTGACCCGCCGCTGCCTGTGTGCCGACGGCTTCCCCAAGTCCACATCAGACATCGGCGAGGTCTGCCGTTGCGAGAACGGGGAGGCCATGCAACCGGACGGCACCTGCAAACCACCCTCAGGTATGCATTGGGATGCTTCATGCATATTCATAAGCAAAATGCCCTCTCCCCTGATTTCAAAATCAACGTTTGCATTCTGAATGTCTGTTTGAACTACGGGTAAGTTGGTTCAACCTTGACAACACCATAAGCCTGCATGTTGCCAATGCATGTAATTTTCAGTCATGTTAAAAAAAAAGGCAGGTGGTTTTGGGATGCAGCTAATAAATTGGGCACAGTTTCTCAGTGTCTGTGAAGATTCATCTCTGACCGGATCCCACAGAGTGACTCATCAGGCCTCGTTTCCAGTAATTCAGTTTTAGTTTACATGAGAAAGAGCGAACCGATGTTTTGGAGGTACGGTATTAGAGGGAAGTTTAGCCGGTAATTTTATCGGTGAAACGTTGCAGGTCACACATGCCAGCACGACCAGTTCACCTGCGGCAGCGGCAACTGCATACCCATGTCGTGGAGGTGTGACCATGACAACGACTGTGGAGATATGACGGACGAATTGGACTGCCGTAAGTCATCTTTAGGTTTTAAAAGAGTGTGACAGAGAGAAAAATGCTCTGCATGCATCCGTACATCTTTCACTCGCAAGTCCGCTAAAGCTGTGCAAAATTACTCAAAGAGGCAGTGATGTGATAAATGTGGTGAGTCATTCAATGAGTCACAGAATAACTGAATTAGTCATAACTGAAAGAAGTTGAATTGAGTCAGCTCATGGCCATGTTGAGTCTTTAACAATTTGGAACCCGAGTCAGGCTTGAGTGGAGTCAACTACTTTGCTGAAGGTTTTCCTCACATGTTGAATACAGGAAAGGAACTTGGGGGTTTGAAAAGATTAAGAGAGAAAATGAAAGAAGTCCTCACAGTGTACATAGTGAAGACTTTGTGTAGTTTTGCAGCAGTCCTCAGAAGGTTTTCCCCTCATTCAGGGAAGGAATTTGGGGTTTTTAAAGATTAAGAGGAACATTTTACTCATTAGGATAACCGAGAAAATGCACAATCTTCTTGACTTCCCACATTAACTCCACATTGCTGGAAAGGCGAATAGGCAGTTGATTACCAGCGGTGTGACTACACCCCAGGGCCTGGTCCCTAATGGTCAGCTGGATGGCCCAAGCCTTCCTGTCTTTTCTGGCGACGTTGATTGAAACATAAATGTCGCAAGAACTTTTCCTGTACTACACAAATGCCAAAAGCACGTATTTAGTTGAAACTTGGGTTCCTGATGAAAAACTTTGGTTCCTGATGAAAAACTTATGAAATGCTGTGTTGTGTTTCCTTATTTGCCGGGCGAAACTCATGTAATGTAACAAGTTGTGTTGTGTTTCCTTATTTGCCGGGCGAAACTCATGAAATGTAACAATTTGTGTTGTGCTTTCTTTTTCTGTAGCCTACGAAGGTTGCAGAGATGATCAGTTCACCTGCAACAATGGCCACTGTATCCCCTCAAGATGGGTTTGCGACTTTGACAACGACTGCGGCGACATGTCGGACGAGCATGATTGTAGTAAGTCCTTCCATTCCAACATTGTTTTGGTAAATTGCCTCAGAGCCTGGAACCTTGTTGCGTGAATTCTGCTCTAGGGACTTTTTCCACATTGGATGCCGACTGCTTATGTACGGAGGGCCTTTTTTGCCGAATGAAGTAAGCAGGGACACATTTAGTACAGCATTTTATTTCTTTGGGTGTCACGATCAATGCATTAATTGCCTTGTAATCCAGGCAAGAATAAAGATTTGGGGCCACTTTGTCTCCTTCTGAAAACGGTGATGAACTATGAATGAAGCAAGATAATTGTTTAAATACAAAGTAAAATAGTAGTCTCTGGAGTGCTTGTAGTCTTTCTTCAAGCCGTCTCTGCTGGGCGTAGTCTTCCTTCAAGCCATTTCTGCAGTTCATAGCCTTCCTTCAAGCCATCTCTGCCAGGGGTTAACTTCTAAGTACTCAAGTGATTCCGTTTGTGCATACACAGAGCCTCAGTCTAGTCCATGGAGAGTGTGGGGAGCCCTCAAGAAGCCAATAGTCCACTTGTGTCGGAGTTTATAAAAACAAAGTGGTCATGCAATAAAGAAACGTCACATCAAACCTTGAACAAATGTCAACCAAGGGCCACCATCAGTAAATTCTAACTTAGTGAAGCACTGCGGTTGGGGTATCTTGTCATCTGTGCCTGGTACAAGTCTTGCGTGAAGTCGTTGACACCGACAGGTGGTCAAAAGTAAAACCAAGAAGTGAGCTGCAGGAGTGATCAAAGGTGTTGGGGGCCATTAGAGTTCTGACAAGCTGTCTTTTTGGATTGTTTTCTTTTCTGCAGCCTACCCAACTTGCGATGCTGACCACTTCACCTGCGCCAACCAGCGATGCATCCCAAACAGCTGGGTGTGCGACGAAGATGACGACTGTCGCGACGGATCCGACGAGGACGACTGCACCACGACAGCCGGTAAGGGTGCTGCATAATTCGTCCTGAGGATTGAACCCGGGTACCTGAGCGCACGCAACCCGTTGATATAAGGAACCAGTTGGAAGTTGCGGGCAGTGTTTATCGAGTCCAACACAAGTCCTTTTACAACTTCCTTCACAAGTCCAGTCACAAGGCCAGTCATAAGTAACAGGGTGAACAATGACAAAGGAATGCTTTTGTCACAGCTCATTTGAACAGCTTGCGAATTGGGTAAAAGACTGAATGACTTGTGATGGACTTACAGGGACTTAAGATGGGCTCGAATGCAACATTGCATTGCATCAAATTTTCAGTTTACTTGTCACTGCGTGAAGTACACATTTAGAATGCCACAGGTGCGTTGTAAGCAAATGAGCCTCTTTTTATTGGTTTTCATGAATGCTCTCGATTTTGAAAATGATATATTTGATAATTGATACGATATCTGGATAATTGATAATTGATCGAATGTCCGACTGCCGGAACAATCCAGCGCAGCCCTAGCGGTTGTTGTTTGATGGCATGCTACATTAGCCATGGTTTCAACTCTCATTTCACAGCCATTGCTTTTGGTTTCCTAACTTTCCACCTTCAGTGCCCACCACGCCGTTCTCGGGCACCTGCAGTGCAAGTCAATTTCAGTGCCACAGTGGACGCTGCATTCCTGGGTCATGGAAGTGTGATGGCGACAACGACTGCGGCGACATGTCGGACGAACCTCCCGATTGTCGTGAGTTCAGTACATTTCATCCTCTCTTTCGCCTGCAGTGCCTTTCCCCTGTCGAGTTTTATCATGTGAAGGGAGTCATCTCAAATGTCGTTGGGTACAATTTGCGGACATTGTTGAGGGGTTAAGCGACGGGATTCTTAACCATCTTGTCCGAAAATCATCGTAAAGCTAAAGTGATTCGCGCTTGGAAAAACCTGACAAATTGAAAACAGCCCAAAGAACAAAACTGGACAAGGTAAAAAACAACGAAAGGAGACTGGACAAGACAGGAGACCTGCACCTGTTAAAATCCAACGACAAAACAAGACGTGACTGGACAAGACAGGAGACCTGCACCTGTCAGAATCCAACGACAAAACAAGACTTGACTGGACAAGACAGGAGACCTGTCAGAATCCAACAACAAAACAAGACTTGACTGGACAAGACAGGAGACCTGTCAGAATCCAACCCAGCCCAGGAAAACAAATTACCAACATACGGTCGAATTTTGTATGGAAATAAAGACTTCGCCCCCCTTTCTGAAACGGTCAATTCGGCCATGGAGTGTAAACTGACTGATGGCAGAATTACGGACAAAACTTCCGTTCAGACCGAAAGATCCAGCGATCGCACACATCGACCGGTCGCGCCCAGTATATATATATGAAAGGGTCCATGAAAACATCAGTGCTTAAAACATGACAACTGATCTTTACTGTTTGATCAGCCCACCGGACGTGCAACGTCTTCCAATTTGAGTGTACCAACGGTCGCTGTATTCCGACATGGTGGAAATGCGATGGGGAGAATGACTGTAGCGATGGCAGTGACGAGGCAGATTGTGTCGGTAAGTGAGAGTTTTGGTGGTTGGGCATTTCCCAATAGACAAGAGTAAGCCACATTCTGGCGCACCTTGAAAGTGGTGTAGTGTGAATCGGCTTATTTTGTGAAATAACCAAGAGACCAGAATGCGGCATTTTCTTGTTTTGTTGAAACAAATTTTTTACTTTGTCACTTGTGAATATTTGGTCTTGAACAGAATGGCTCTGATTTTTTGTGTGTGTCATTCTGGTCGAGTGACTAGTGTTGCAACTAATCTAGTGACTGGTCTTGTTAAATAGTCTTGCAACTGGTCTTAATGTGGTCTTAATATGACTGGCCTCGTGGTATGTCTTGTGATTGCTCTCATTACCGGTCTTGTGACTGGTCTTGAGACTATTCTTGCGAGGTCTTGTGTGTGATCGACCCCTTGTGACTGGTTTTGCGAATGGCCTTGCGACCTTGTCTGATTGGCGTAAGCCAAGTCTTGTGACTGGTCTTGTGTTCAATCTTTTGATTGTTTTTTTTGGTCGAATCCTGTGACTGGTCTTGCAACATCCTCGTGACCAGTCTCTTGAGTGGTCTGTAGACTGGTATGCCAACTTGAGAATGACACCTCATTCTGTTTTTTTTTTTTGTGCTCCCCTGAAGTGACTACCCCAGAAACGACAACGTGGACGTTCCCGGAGCACTCCTGCCACCCAGGTGACTTTGTCTGCTACAGTGGCCAGTGCATCTTCCCCAGCTGGAAGTGCGACGGCGTTGTGGACTGTTACGACGGTTCGGACGAATATGATTGTGGTAAGACTACTCCCCCCCCACCAAAAAATGTCCAGTTGGGCAGTGTCAGAGAATTACAAACATCAGTGCCCCCCCCAAAAGTGGCTAAAAAAGCAGCGAACCATCGTTACAGAATTTTGAGCGCTTCCAGACCGTTCTGTTCTTTTGGGCACTGTACTCAGGTCTGCATGAGTCATGTCCATACTCTTCCGTGCTAGCCAACACAGGGATCAAAGGACTTCCTTGCACTTTGAGTTGAACCCAACTGGCCACTGACTCATTAGACGTGGGCAGAACTTTAATCTGGCCAAGCCATCCAGCGGCCTGACCCCACTGATGATTGGTCATAAACAATCCTATTGTAAGGTTGTCCAGGGCAAACAGATGGAAGATTTCAGGGTGCGGTAGGCCCAGGACCCTGGGCCTCGGCACTGCCCTGCTCGTCAGTGGCAGAGCCACGCTCCCTAAGTTTGTTTTCCTGTCTGTTTTGTGCAGCCACCGAACAACCAGGAACGTGCTCCTACTTCCAGTACCAGTGCAATGACGGTGACTGCATCCCGGAGTTTTGGGAGTGCGATGGCATGGCTGACTGCGACGACGGTTCAGATGAATGGGGCTGCGGATGTGAGTGGACCTTGTGATATTGTAGACCAAGCCCGCAAAGGAAGCCACTTTTGATCCTGTTCCTAAATCAGTCAAATTGTGGGTCTGTTTGGTCCGGATCCTGATCGGTGATCCTCTCGCTGGTGCAGTGGCACCAGAACCCACCTGGTGGATGGCGCAAACCAGCTTTGGGATCACCGATCAAGATGCAGATCTCTGTAAAACTGTGTTGTAGCACAGACCTCTTGAGACCCCACAGGACTAGCACTAGGGCAACACCGGACCTCCGGTCTGAATTCAACCCACGAGCTATTCAGCTGAACAGCAACAAAAGCATTCTTTTCTTGTGTCAGGTCTCGTGACACGTCTTTGTGTCTGTTGTTGTGACTAGTTTTGTGTCAAGCCTTGTGTCTGGTCCCGTGTCTGTCTTTGTGTCTGGTCTCGTGTCTGGTTTTGTGACTGGTTGTGCGACTGGTCATACGTCTGGTCTCGTGTCTGGTTGTATGTCTGGTTTTGGGACTGGTCTTGTGACTGGTCTTGGGTTTGCTCTTGTGTCTTCTTGTAATCAGATTGATTAACTGGTCTTATGACTTCTCTTGTATCTGGTCATGTGATGGTCTAGTTCACAAGACTGGATAGTCCGAATGACTGCTTTTCGGCAGAAAATAATCCTGTGCTCCGGAAAGGTTTCCCGGACTATAATACTGTCGACAGTTGGTCAGTGGGTCCCTTCTTTATCTCCAGAAAGTGCATTCATCTGTGACATTTTCTCCTGTTCAACATGTCCTTCAGACACCACGACGGTACCCACCAGACCGCTGACGTGCGCCCCTTGGCAGGCACCCTGCGGCCCTGGCGCTGACGTTCCCTGCATCCCCGAAAGTTGGCTGTGTGATGGTTGGGACGACTGCGGGGACAACAGCGATGAGAGGAATTGCCCCACAGGTAACGGCAGATGAAGATAGATCATGGCTAGCATTGTAGAAGTTTATGAATCTGTTGTATTTTATGCTGTTATGCCTTCTGAATGCTTGTACTTAAGTTCAGTTGAATAACTGACAGATCATGTATTTTGTAAAGTCATCTTAGTTTATGGTAACGTTTGTAACAGGTGGTGTCCTGAACGGTTATGATCGTGCACGCTGATGCTGCTCTCTCACCGCCAAAAGTTTTAGTTTGCCCAGTTGCCCCAATCAATTAAAAATAACCCATCTGTAAATTTCGAACGCCCAAGAGATCTGCAGCTGAAGCCTTGAATTAGATTTGCACACTTTTCTCACCGTGATTGCAATCGCGTCCTGTTCGTAACTCGTTATGAGCGTGCATTGTGTACTGCGTCGAGCCTACACTTGCTGGTTTACGTTCCAGTAAAACCACATAAACACAGCCTTGTACCCAGTATGTATGGGCAAAGCACATGAAATGTTTCCTTCAACAGGGAACAAGGATTGGGTCATGACCTTTGTCGTGTCTTCACGCTGGCTGGTACAGCTGTTACAAGCGTGACTGTCGAAATTTACTGTTCGCAATCCAAGGAAATCCAAGTCAATCCACTGCCATCACACGATATTTCTTCATTAAAAGCCCAGCATAAGAACTTATAAACACCATATTACCATTTTGTTCTGTTATTTGGCAAACTACTGGTATGTGCTTACAGACCGATTTTTGGAAGGTGACATATAATGATGTATGAAAGTCGCTTGGTGTCCTGTTTTTACAAAAATCATTTTTCTCATCTAAATGTCACACATTTGTAACCAGTAGCGTATACATGCACTTATAGCAAAGATAACATTGTAGAAGTTCTTGAATACTGAACATACCAAAGATAACATTGTACGGGTTCATTGATAGTGAACATACCAAGGATGGCATTGTAGATATTTATGAATACTGAACATACAAAAGATAACATTGCAGATATTTGTGAATACTAAACATACCAAGGATAACATTGTAGAACTTCCCAAATGCTGAACATACCAAGTATTACATTGTAGAAGTACATTAATATGTTGTTAGAAATGCTTGTTTAAACATTTCATGTGGCATGAAGTGGTGAAACTCCTGTTATCTCATTTCCCCGTTCTGCAGATCTGCCAACATGGCATCCACCCACATGGGGCCCCTGCGTAGGCTTCCGATGTAACGATTCTACCCAGTGTATACCCATGTCGGAGCGCTGCAATGGCCACGGCGACTGCGATGACCTGAGTGACGAGCAGGGCTGTCCCAGTATGTATCGAAATGTGGAGGGAGAGATGCCCTCGCGCTCTCATTTTGGGCAGAGTGGATGCTCTACTGCACATGTAATGAGCAGCCAATTTTGTTTCCCAAATCTGAAAGCTGACACTACTCCCTCTATGTTGGCATTTGTTGTGATGCTGCCATATTTGTCTTGTCCCCTGTAGACCCATTGGCAATTGTAAAACAACTTCACATGGGTGATAAAAGGAAACAGACTATTTTCCCGTTTCAGCCTCAAGTTTGGCCACATTGGTTTGAATGGTAGAAAAAAGCAAGATGGCCGCCACATGATGCAGGTCCGGCTCTGTCTTCTTGTTGTTTGCAGGCCGTGCTCCGACACCGACACCGGCGCCTTTCTGTCCCCCCAGGGAGTTCCAGTGCGATGGAAACCTCTGTCTGCCTGCTAGTGTGCAGTGTAATGGCATACAAGACTGCCTGGATGGAACGGACGAAGCAGGTTGCCACGGTAAGGGAGGAGGTGGCGTGGGTGGGCTCGCCCGCCCCTACCTGACGGGCGTGGGAAACAGTGTGGGTTTAGTACTTGCTGCTCTGTTTTACACGTGCATGCTCAGTGCACACATTTGATACGCACGTGCGGCTGTGTTACTGTTCAAACGAGTTCTGTCCAGTGAATGCCCGTGACGCCGTACATTTGCTATGCCCACTAGTGCCCTGCAGCTTAGATGGGGGGTATGGTGATGTAAACAGGACCGATCAGATAGCCTTGCCCCCCGTGATAGGGAGCAGTGCACCTCCATAGCTGCCTGCTGATTTGCATTGGTACAGGATGGCTTGCATAGTCCCAAAACTGTAAATGTTATACACAAACAGTCTGGTTTGTGACCTTGCCGTGTGTTTGGTTCTTGGTATGTGGTGCCCGCTGTGAAAATGAGTCAGTTTTCCATTGCGTGATGAGACCATGATTATTTTCTCGAAGTTAAAAGATTGTTAAAAAGTGTTCTCCCGCTATTAAAAAGTGTCTCGTTTTTATCGATATTACCAAAGTGGAAAAAGAGTGTTCATGAAGCAAAGTGGAGGTAAATATTCAGAGTAAGCATTTGAGTTTGTTTTTACCACGGTCATAGATGGTGAGTTTTGTTGGTTGTGAACTGATCACATGATGATATGCTACAGGCGCGCATATATCATTCACGCCTCGTGCGCGGAAAAGTAAAGGAAAAGTTAAACTGTTTGTAGGAGATTCCCAAGGCGGTAGCACGAGCCGTTGATTGGTGAAATGAAGTCACGAGAGGGCGCTATAGAAATTGGCGTGCCTGGCATTATGCTCGATGGAGTCTGCTATCGAGTTCTACCGTCTTAGCCCAAGACTACATGCACACTGGTGATGTTGCCGGGCCTTAAAAAATGATGAATTACTGTGATCTTTCCCAGAGTTGATTTGTCTTGTCTACTGCATTGTAATTGTTAAATCTTGGATATGAGGGTGGATAGCCGCAGTGGCACTACTCGCCAATTATTGTAGGAGATTTGCACTGTGTGCTGGATAGTGAAGCACTGTGTCTGTTCGCATGCGAAACTCTTTCCACCCTGACCAACTTCTGTTCGTTCATCCGTGCTCGTGGAACACCAGTCTGCTCTGATCACTGAAACGTTCATGCCATTGTCTCTTTGCATGTGCTCTTCAATCTGGTCAGTACTTTTTTAACGGATCTTGGTCAATAATGGCTTGCAATTCAACCTCTCGACAAAACGCCAATGCTTTATGAATCCTGGGTTTGTGTTATAACAAGTTTGTTGTAAATCCTAGATTTTTCCCTACCCCTACCCCCCCCCCCGAAAAATAAAATAAAAACATGGGTGAACAAAGGACATCACAATCAGTAATTTTCCTTGAAATTTAACTTTTAATTTACTGTTCACGTGTTCACCGTTCCAGTAAAATCTTTATGACCGGTGCCATTTGCCCTCTCGGGTGTACAAAACACCATGGATCCCTACACCGCAGGCGACAATTGTTCGATGTAAAACTCGTTGGTATCCACCAATACACAACATGAATCTATTCAGTACTGGTGCCCATGTCAAATTAGGACAAAGACAGATGGTTGTATAGTTTTCCAAGCGGGTTCTTGCATGCATTCTGCATGTACGCAAAGATCATACATTAAGGAATATATTCATTACGCGTACTCTGCATGCTCCGCTTCAAATGCGCTATTGATCTCCATTATAAACGCGCGCGTGCCTATGCAGTGAGTACCAAAAAACACGTCCTCTTTTGTTCTGCTTGGAATGGACAACTAATACATTTGACTTTTTTGGTTCAGGTCAATTCATCCCCAGGCTGGATGGTAGCTCTCAGACTCCAACGACAGTCCGACTCGTCATCACACAGCCTGAAGATAACCCTGAAGAGTATTACACCTACAACATCTACTATCAGTGAGTTGTCTGGCCTCTGTGTATCTGAGAAACTGACCAAGAGTCCACTGCTAGGCCAACACGACCAGTGCCTGCCCAACACCCAGTCTACCCCATCCCAGCCTATTCCAACCCAACCCAATGCTACCCATTTCTACCGAATGCAACCCAACCCGGCCCAACCCAGCCCAACCTGCCCAACCCAACCCAACCCACCCCAA